CCAAGTGATTTGTAAGTTTGCGAGTTCACAGAAGGTCCATGTAGCTCAGCTGCCATTTTAATGTTAGGCTTTCAGAGACTGCCAAAATGGTTCCCCCCCCAAAAAAACTTTGTTCACTAAAGCATTAAAGGGGAAAAATGTTTCCAAAGCTTTAGGTTTCCCATCCCAATCTCTCTCTCTTTTCATCTCATGTCAATTTTATTTTGCTCTGACAATTCCCCCTTTATTTTGTTTGCATGCAGCACTGAAATCTTTTTTTTTTCACTGAGGATGCTGCTGTTTGCCTCCTCTCTAATCCCCCTTTCAAGTCAATATCAGCAAGGAACTAAACCTTGTGCAACCCCTTTTAAACTCCCCCCCCCGTCATTTTAAATTTTTTATTCAGTGATCCGAGACTAGCAATACTCTCCTATCACTAGACTCATGCTGCTTGCAAATAAAAAATTAAAAACAAGGGGGAAATGGAGCTTGTACACTTATGAAGGGAGGAGGATGGTGGATGATGCAGTGGGCGGAATGACCTTGATGTGGGTGGGGAGTGACCTTCAAGGGGCAGCAAAAGGGTGGGGGGAAATCTGAGGGAATCTGTATGCTTTTGAATTACCTTCAGCTTGGAAGTGAAATAAGGGGAAAATTGGCACATGAGCACTCTCAGAAAACCCAGGGAAACAGTGACCAGTAAGTGAACTGAGTGCTGAAGGAGGAAAATCAGTGTAGAACGACAAAGAAAACCCGGTGTATATGCATGGGGAAACTGAGGAAAACACCCATAGAAATGTGATTACAAATTACCTTTCCATATGAATGACCAAAACAATTACAGAAAGGGAGAGTTGCCACACATAAGGACAGATCTGGCCCTTGTTGATTCAGCTCCTGCCAAGCTGACTGAGGTCTTTCTGGATCTTGGGCCAGTCACTTTCTCTCTGTCCCACTTACCTGACATGGTGGTTGTTATGAGAATAAAGTGAAGGAGGGGAGAACGGTGTTGTAAACTGCTTTTGGTCCCTCACAAGGTTGTTGTTGTGAGGATAAAATGGAGGAGGAAAGACTGATGGTGTGAACCACTTTTGGTCCCATTGAAGAGAAAACCAGGGTTCAGAGTCTAAAATAAATACCTAAGGTTGGGCTGCAAATGACTTCCAGCCTAATCTTCCATGATGCAGCAATGGTCTCATTATTCCTCCCAGCAGTGAATCGGGTTGAATAGCTGAGATCATGTTATTTGAGAAAAACCACGTCCTATTTTGCTTTGTGTTCAGTGTTTTATTGATAATTGCTGGGGGGGGGGAGAGACGTGCTGTTCTTTCACCCAAATGTTTCTCTGACAAATAGAACTTGCAGTGTAATCCTAAACAGAGTTACACCCTTCTAAATCCATTGAAACCAGTGCACAGTATTCTGATGAGAGCCATCTCTGTGTAGGTACTTTTAACCTACCACGTTCCAGCCTGGTGATTTTAAACAAGACTGCCTAGGAGAAGCAAGGATCTGTAGTCCACGGCCAAGTTTGCTGTATTGACATGTGCCGCTATACTCCAGGTTTATTTACTGCTGGCTGGGATTATTACAGCAGGATTTTGACTTTATCAGTGGTGCTTCAGAGTTAATTGATCTTTTATAAACACCCAAAGATCCAATAGTCATTATTAACACCCCACGGGGAACAGCATTAGATGCACAGGTTGCTGTTCTTGTTGTGACACAAACAAATGCTTTATGTTAGCGTGAATTAAAAAAACACCAGCTCCCCATGAGGGAAGCAACCACCACAGTTTCCTGCAGCCAGTCCATATGGCTGCTGTTTCAAGGCCAGCAGGAGACAAAACTGGGGGGGGAGGGGAGTTAAGTGTTTATCAAGGCCCTCCAATCCATGCAGACAACTTGCCAATAAACAAAGGGTTTGCCTTGTCATTCCTATCTACATTTAGAAGCATTTAAATTACCATTTTCACCTGAGGGAATAAAACATGGTGAAAGATCACCAGTCCACTACCACCACTTCAGCCCATCTGAAGGATTTCATGGCAATTCTCATGAATGTTGTTAATTAGAGCGTCCCAGGTCAACTTATCCAGAACAGCCAACAAATTAGGGGTAATGCTGATCCACAAATGAAGATTCTGTGCAGTTTTACAGGGTAAAAGCCGTTGGGCGAAACTGTGATTCATACCTGTGCCAGCGGGAGGGTGGGTGGCTTTCTCCAACCAAAACAAACCTTCCCAGGCTATATACCTGGGAAGGGAAAAAATCAGGCCAGAAGAGGTTCAGAGTCTTTTCCTTCTTCTCTAATAATAGCTGGGGGTGGGTGGATTTTCAGTGGGAAAAACTCCACGAGTAGAAAGATTAAAGTCCCACATAATAACTCTGCTCCTAATGAATACTGGCTGTTATTTCCTTTTAAAAGCAGTGGGCGCATCCATTCACAACTTACATCTCATCTAGTTTGCCCATAAGAAAACCCGTTTAACTATTTAAACAGTTTAACATGATATTCTGAACATTCTCTAATGAGAATATTAGAAACCATTTGTAAACAGGGTGTATGTTTTTTTTAATTATTTCTAACGTCTGAAAGGTTCTCTCTACAATGCTAGGTGGTATGTCCAAAAGAATGGGGGCGATCTGCTTTGAAAAACAGCTGTCCTATTTCTCTAGTGTAGGATTCATTTTCAGGTAGGAATTTATTTATTTATTTGTCACATTTATATCCCACTCCCGCTCCCCCAAATGGATCTTGGGGAAGCTAGCAGCCCATAAAATACACCCGATAAAAATAATACAAAAGATACAATAAATAAACTTTTAAAATATAAAATGATTTACTATCTATCTATCTACTATCAAGCAGCATAGGATGTGTGGATGGTGAAGACATAGCTGAAGCATACCAGCTGCCTGGTGGATTACAATCACCCAAAGGTTACCCACAAAACAGCAGCCTTGCATGCCCTGTGGAACCAAGGGAGGTCCCGTAAGGCACACATCTCTTGAGGCAGATGGTTCTATGGGATGGGAGCCACTACTGAGAAGGCCTTGCCCTTGTTGACACAAGGCGGACAGTTTGTGGACCACGGGCCTTCAATAAATGGCGAGATGAAGATCGGAGAAGACGGGGAGGATCATGCCGGGAGAGGCAGATGTCTCTACACAGCACTGCATCTTGTTCCATCACAACACACTGGAAAACTAAGAGTGTCCTCATTCTGCATTTAATTTGTGTAGAACACTACTACTGATAAATGAAGAGCTTTCCCAAGTACATTTATGCCCAGGAATTAGGGACAAACCTGAGTTACTGGGAGTATACCCTCATCTAAGACCCCACAAAATGCTAGGGTTCTTTTTTTGAGAAACAGAAAAATAAATTTATGACATAAAAGCTTCTATTACGGAATGTTTGGGGGTTTTGGAAGAGGAAAATAACTTTTTTTTTTAAAATAGAAACAGTGAGTGCCCTGCCCATTCAAGTTTCCCACTGGTGGATTTTTCAAGATCATCATCACCTGTATTGGATTATATCTAACCAACCCCAGCACCATGGATTTTCACCACATTTCCGTTCCCCCAGCAGTCCCTTTTGATTCTCAGGAAGCTAGGATCTGCATGCACAGAAATCCATATGGGTTTGGGAGTCCTCCTTTTCCTCTTGGGCTTCTGCTTACAGACGATGGAGGAGGAGGAGGTGATTTATCCTAATCACTCCTCCTCACTGAAGCCACCCGCCCAGGGCTTTTTGTCCTTGTAGGTCCTACAAAGACAGCCATGGTTTTCCCTGCAGTCAAAAGGAACTTTTCCAGGAAGGGGATTGAGGGGAAATCTGCATCCACAGTGACGTCCACTGGCAGTTGGCTGGCTATAGCCAATCATGCATAAGCCGTCCTGAAAATCCCTCCTTGAAATCCTATGGCTGAGCATGGCAGGGTGCCTTCAGCTAGGAACGGGTAACTGAAAGAAAATTATTATTTTTGCAAGAAAATAATATAACTCTACAAGAAAATAATATTCTACAACAGCTTCCAATTTTTGTGTGGCTTTTAAACAAAATAACATACATTAAATGCTTGCAAACACAGTAATCTGAGCTTGGCAAAAGGATTCTAGAAGCTTCTTTTGGCTATGCAAACATTTCAATTCATTTATTTGGATCTCGCCCCAAACATGGCATCCGTGCCCTGCAATGAAGGCTATCAGCCCTGGGCTAGATGCTCCTGGCAGAACTGTCAGTCCTAAATGGAAGACATGGCCCACGAGCTCTGCACAGCCACTGTTTCTGAGCTCTCAGCAATATTTCAGTTGCACATGGAACCCCCCCCCCCCCCCCCGCGGTCCTCCATGTCCCAAATAGGGTTGCCAACTGGTCGTGGAGAACAACTCTTCTGTCCCCTTGACACAACCTTAATGAGAAGTCGTTTCTCTCCATGCCATGAAAAGCTTCAGCTCCCCATTTCCACACAAAAGGGGAGGGCATTTTTCTCCCGGCCAGCTGGCAACGCCAGAGCATCAAACCATGACTCCGCAACCCTCTATTTCCCCAACTCATTCTCCAGCTTTTCCACGTTTTTAAAGCGTCAACAGAGTGCCCCCTTAGTCTTCTTTTAGACCCCGCTCCTTCAGTCTTTCCTCCAGATGTTGATTATCCTAAAAAAACCCAAACAAACCCAAACCTCTTTTCTGACTCCTTCCCTGCTATTTCCCGTGAGTGGTTTGCAGCACTCGTGAGTGTGGCCCCTACAGACAAATCCCTGGCGGCGGCGGCGGCGGCGGCGGCGGCGAGGGGGGGGGGGTAGCAGCGAGCTTTTCGGGGGGGGGGGCGGGGGTGGAAGGGACGCTCAGAAACCGATCCCGCCAGTCAAAAAGATCCTGCCCAATCCGGGCACCATAAAGGCGGGCCTTGAGGCACGCACCGAAAGTTGCCTGGAGGCTGCCAAGAGCTTCTAGCCGCGGAGGGTAGTTGTCGCTTTCCCACTCCTGCAGAGCGGACTGGGGTTGCTGGCAGTAGCAGCCGCCGAAGCCAGAGCGGGTGACAAACCGGGAGGGAAGGAAGGAGGGAAGGAGCCGCGGGGACCTGGGTGGGTGGCCGAAAGAGTCCCTCTGCTGCTGCTGCCGCCGCTGCCCAGCGTGCGAAGATGATGGCGTGCACGGAGATGCTGACGATGTGCCTGCTCTCGGCCAAGCACACCTACGGCCCCAAGCCCACCGAGCCCTCCTCGCCGCACTTTGGCCAGGGACTGGCCATCTTCCACGATGTGAGTGCTGCTGTGCCTGTCTCGACCGGCTGGCGGGGACCGAGAAGGGTGGCCAAGCGGGAGGAAACGTGCGAGTGTGTGTGTGTGTGTGTGTCTGTTGCCTTCTCGGAGCAGTTTCTTTTCCGAGAGGCTCCTGTCTGAAGGGTTGCTGCTTCGTTCGTCCAGTCCCTTTTGTGTGTGCTGAGGACTGACTGGTTTGAAAAACTTACGACCCAGGAAACGGGCCAAATAAAAGTCGGGCCCGGGGAGGGGGTTCTGCCCTCTGGGGTACACTTTTGCAGAGGGGTGTGTGAAAAGTGGGGATTTGGAGACCACGGAGATGGTGGTTGGGATAGTGGACAAAATTTTGAAATCGGGTCCAAACGGACGGGATCATGTCTTACGGTTACCCTAAGTTAATTGTGTGGTCTTGGGGGAAACCGGTTCATATGGTTGCTTGTCCCTAAAATGAGGATAAGCCTATACTTGTCTCTAGACCAGCACTCTTGTTATGTTTCACTTTGGGTCATTCTTGTTCCATAGGTTTAGAGTGGGGTAACTCTGCATAGGATTGAGCTGTAATAGTTGGAATTACTGGAATGAATGGCCACATTGGTTTCATAGCACAAATTGAGTGGGTGTCACCAGCCCCCAATTTGGGTCATTTTGCCCCATACTGTCTCAATTACTAATTTTCTTTATTTTCTTCCTGGAATTTTGAGGTTTCAGTTTTTGCTTTCTGAAACAAGGGTGACATTCATCTATTCAGCTTGTTCGCCCATGCTAACTCCACTCCACGTGTTGCGGTGTGGAAAAGCAGAGGGACCTCGACTCGAGACAGGATCGTGGCATACTCATGATTAGTTTGTACTAAAATAAACTAACGGTACAACCCTGTGCAGAGTTATTCAACTTTAAGCGCATTGAAATGGACAGGTGTTAAGTATGCACAGGATTGCCCTGTAGCAGTTGGAATTATCAACACAAATGGCCATATGGGTTCAATAGCACAAATGCAGTATTTTTTTTTAAAGGCTCCTTCGACAGAACAGGTGGGTCAAGAAAAGGGTAGCAAAGAAGGATAATGTAAGACTTGTAGAGCAATAACAGAATGGCTTGTTCCTAGGGTTGCCACTCCAGCTTAGGAAATACCTGGAGATTTGGGGGGCAGAGCCTGAATAGGTTGGAGTTTGGGGAAGAGAGGCACTTCAGTGGACTGAAATGCCATAGAGACACCATCCAAAGTGGCCATTTTCTCCAGGTGAACTAATATCTACCACCTGGAGATCAGGTGTAATCCCAGGAGATCTCCAGCCACCACTTGGAGGTTATAATACAAAAACTGAGGGTCACAGTGTTAGGAAGATAATGGAGAAATATATGGTACTGTGTATAATACATGTATGCTTAAGATCTATTTTGTGCTTTTACTTTTTAAATTTTTTTCTATACTATTATATAAATATTGGTATCAAGTATTATCAAAACATAGATTTCACCAAAACAATACATCAAATTGCAGGTTTGCACTATGTTCAAACATTCAAACAGCACCTTGACAGTTTCACAATCACTAGTCCCATGGGACTCTACTCATTTACTCCTATCAAATGCAATCTTATTCAGGGACAGTGATGTACATACAGGACATAAAGTGCAATACATTCTCTTTGTGTGTATAAAACTCTTAAAATAGCAAATAGCAGCATATTTTCTAGGGTTCCATGAGAACCCTTGTGGCAAACACAGTGACTTATCTAGGAGAACATATCTCTCAAGTTCTATCAGGCAGCCCTGTAAGTGCAATTCCACAACTATCAGTAGCAGGTTGCAGGAGAGAAAACCTTGTTAGTCTGGATGCAGCCCCAGAATAACATCATATGACATCATATATTAGAATCAATTGCTTATGTTTACAAGTATGGTAAAGTCATGTGAGAACTCAAGATGGGTATGGTAGTCTGTAGAAGCAAAAGTGAGGAATCACTAATGTGTAAAGGGAGAGGTCATGTTGTGCTGTCACAGTTACTTCTGTGGATAGAGAAGTACATTTGCAAGTCCTCTCATTCCTGGGTGTTACTGTCATATGACAGCTTGTGCAGCCACACAAATTCCCAGTCAGCATGCTACAGTTCTCTCACACCTTGACCACTGGTATGCCCAAAGAAGGGTGATGATCAAATTGGCCCTCGTTGAAACCTTCCTTACAAAACTGTTTGGAAAGTAAATGTAATAAGGATGGTTTAACTTTTAGACAATTTTCCGAGCACTGGCTTTGACATTTTGGGAAAATAAATAATAATAATAATAATAATAATAATTGCAGTACTTGTGTGCTGCCTTGTATTTCTTAAAAATGCATCCCAGGCAGCTCATAAAAGGAAATTTAAAATAGCATTGAAAATTTTAAGCCATAAATCAAACCACTAAAATTTAATGATTAAAGTCATAATGATACAGATCTGCCAGGAAGCATTTGTCACCTCTAATTATTTTTGTCTCTGAAGGATACCCAACGGCATGATTTTGGTGAGACTGGTGTGAGCATTTAAATTCTGAAAAATAAAATTAAGTATCTGTGAACAAGGCACCTGGGGAAAATGCTTTTTATTTTCCCCCCAGTTAAGAAATGTTATTCGTTTGTTAAACTTGCCCCCTGAGACAAAGACTGTATGCACCTTTGTGTGTGCATGCTGAAATCACATTTGGGGAGGCAGGATCATACCTTCTGACCACCCCCACACCTCTATGTGCATCTGGCATGACTTCTGAAAGAATCTCTGAACACTACAACAGTTATGCTGAACACAGTGATGGGCTTAGAGCTAGCAGGACTGATCCCTTTCCTTACTGTGTACATTCAGTTGTATGGCCATTATGTTTTTCAGCAGTGCAGTTTAGTTCTAAATCATTCACTTGAGAAAAAGTCTGTTTTTTTTAAATGCAACCAAAATTTCATTTCTTTTATCAGTCATCATTATCAACAAAGGATAAGCTGCTAGCATAACTTCCTGGGCAGGAAGATTTTCAGTATCAGATTGTAGGGTTTTAAAATCCTAACAAAATGATGCAGAAGTCTTAGATTTAAAGTGAATAATTAAGTTTTCCCCTTCCCCACTGCAGTGGGGGGGGGGGAAGACTGCCAGATGGGAAATATTTCAAAATGTATGGGTTTTAATGTACACAATTTGTCACTGGTTTGCAGTATTTCCTAACCATTATGCACATTGTGTTTTTTATAATCTTAAGAAATCCAAACAGTTCTAAATAATGACTTTACATGTCTGAGAGAGCAATCCTAAACAGGTCTACTCAGTAGTATCTCTCATGGTATTCAGTGGGACTTACTCCCAGGAAAGTTTAGAGTATCTGTTAATATTTCTTACACCTGTGGGTACAGGGAACACATCTCCTACTGATATGTTTAATTCTTATAATGAAAGCCTTTATTTTTGTTTGATTCTCTGCTTGTCTTGAGTGCATTTTTATAATACAGGCACCAATTTAAAACCCTGTTGACTGCATGTACGGAAGCAAAGTTAATAAACGTGTAAGGATTCAAAGATTACAGCCTACTTGTATTGATATGGCAATGAAACAGAGATCTTATACCAGAACGGCTGTCCTTCAAACAAGCTCTAGCATAGTTAAACCAACTAGTCAGCTATCAGTTGCTAAAAAGATGTTATCCTTTAGAAATGATGTGCCTGGGGAAATTAAAGGCAGGGGCATTATCATGGTGACTGAATGGGCTTCTTATTCCAGCGGGGAAAAGACAGAATAAAATCATGAAAAAATTAACAATGTTACTTTCAGGCTGATGTTAAGAGAAATGAATAGTAGAATTGTCAGTAGTAAATGCCACAAGAAATTGCTGAGCTGGAAAAAAAAAGTCACAGACGATCTGTAAAGAACTGGGGCAGGCACTGAAAATATGATGTAAAACATGCAGAAATATATTTGATTTTTAAAAATTCCCCCCACAAAAAAGGTAACACACCCAGGGGCTGTCTGACAGGGGGAAAAAAACCCACAAGGTATTTATCCCCAATTAAATTACAGGAGTTCAAATACTTTATTACAAACAAATGTCTTAAGTATTATGAAAATAAGACTTCCCTTAGGAGGAACAAAGTGTGGCCTTATATTGACAAGCTTCAAGCTCTGGACATTCTATGACAGGAAAAATATTATTTTGGCTTCATTCCTAATCATGCTTACTACTGAGTACTTATTTTATTTATTTACATTATTTATAGTCCACCTTTCTCACAGGGACTCAAGGTGGGTTACACAAAGTGAGTCAGTACAGTCAACAAGATGGGGCAATCAGTAACCAATGCATGAGGATTTTAGAAGTCTGGAACCACTAGAAAGAACTGAAGCATAGCATAAGTATTAATATGACAAATTACGTGGTGTAAATATTAAATAATAGGACCCTATTTACAGTAAGTTATACACAGCAATATAGACCACAGTCCCAATAATTTATCCAAATAAGATCGTGAACCATTTTGTACAGTGCAACCTTATTACTTGTGCAAAAAAGCCCTCTTGAATTGTTCAGTTTTGCATAGTTTTCAGAAGGCCAGGAGAATGAGAGCTTTCTCGGGCAAGCCATTCCACAAGGTGGGAGCCACAACAGAGAGAGCACGTGTGCGAGCAGTTGTTGATTTTGCCCATTTGCAGGTTGGCACCTGCAGAAGTCCCTACTGACATGAGCAAAGTTGTCATGGTGCAGCTTAGGAAGAGAGGCGGTCCCGTAAATAAGGACCAAAGCCATGAAGGACTTTGTATGTGATAAAGTAAAGGTAAAGGTTCCCTTGCTCGAAAGCCAGTCGAATCCGACTCTAGGGTTGCGTTGCTCATCTCTGTTTCAAAGCCGAAGAGCCAGCGCTGTCCGAAGACGTTTCCGTGGTCATGTGGCCGGCATGACTAAACACCAAGGCGCACGGAACGCTGTTACCTTCCCACCAAAGTGGTACCTATTTATCTACTTGCAATTTCTTGCTTTCGAG